TTGGATTTGGTGATTCATAAGGTCCCAGACAAAAATTTTCTGTTGAGGCAAGTGGCCTGGGAGACATACCTTTGGTGACTGTTTGTGGATGGTTGATTAGGGCCAATTGAGGGTCAAGTGAGAAACTTGAGTTTTAGCCAGCATTATGCAACAGTTTGCCAACTCCTGAAGAGCAGAGTTTTTTGAGTTTTATGTGTGGGGCAGGAAATTTTTGTCTAGCTCTTATACTTACTGAATACACTGCTATTTAAAGTGGCATGGTGGAAGATTACAATATTTCACAAAAATACACAAGGGAGCTTAAGGAAATTCGAAATGTTAAACACCAAAAACAAATGTTGTCTTAAAACAAAGGTGACATATATTTAAAAAAAAATCTGTTAATGTTGTATTTTAAATTATATTCTTTTCCAGACAAAGACACAGTGGGTTTTAGTCATGCAGTTGAAAACTTCCTTTGCTTTGAGCTCACGGACTTTTTTTTATTATTGTCTCCCTGTTTATATATAATATCCTGCTCTCCATTTTTAACTTTCTAAGTTTTTATTTTCTGAAGAAGAGTTCTACTTTAATTGCTTTTACTCAAACCAGCCCATACTTTAACGAAGCCCAGAGGAATATTTAGTCTACAGTTGCTCTACAGATCAGTGACCTGGTTAACTTTTAATCAGATTAAATGTTACTACTTAATCCCAAAGAGTAGAAACTGGATCCGATGCTAGTATAATTAAAATATATATATGTCCTCCTGATACTGACAAAATCACTGTAATGGGAATTTCATCCAGTAGTTCTAATTTTGGAATGCATACTTTTTACACTGAACAACAGGTCTTCGTTTTTCTCTTGGGAAATTTTCCTGTATGTGTTTTCTTACTATTTATTTGAATGCTTTGAGTTATTTGTTTTCAGCACACATTTATAGTTGCCTCTGAATTTCATGTTTCTTCCTCTTTGCTATTTTTTTGAGAGGAGTTTATATTTATATTTAAATCATTATCTGGTCTTTCCCTGGTACTCAGTGTAATATCATTTTGTTAATATTGCTGAACAATGATGTTAAATAATAATGTCACAGAAATGGCTAAAATAGGCATTAGATTTTTCATTTAAAAACAAAAATGTAAGTTGTTTTCTTCTCGCTAATATTTAAAGCTGTGGAATTGTTTATTTCAATGTTTGCCCTTACCTTATAAGAGGTTAATGGGTACCAGAAAGGAAATGATACACAGTAACACCTGTGAGAGCTAGAACTCAAAAGCACTGCCTTATTTTTCCAGGTCTCACAAGTTTTCTGCCTTTGGTAGGATGCTGTCTTACCACTTTTCTATCACTCTCTACTAGTGGAAAATACTTGCATTTTCCTTCCCTGACAAGTTTCTACCTTACACAGGTTCCAGCTTTTGCAGGTTTTACTGTATTTTTAAGTTAAATAGCCTCAGAACATGGATCTGAACATGCCATTTTACTTTTGATATAAGATTCTCTCATCCCACTTTATTGACATTTATTTTATACCGCTAAGAATAAGACAAAATAAACCATCCACCCTCTCAGACCCCATTCCATACCCAGATATGTGCAATACATGTGCACACATACATTTACTAAGGTCGAGTTACCACTGCTCTGTAACTTCAATTAAAGCTTGATAATGAGAGAGACTTAGATAGTTGGTTCTCTTTTTATTTGAACTCTCAACATAATTAGATAATTGCTATGGTGAGATGGATGTGTGTCAAATATGATCATCCTTTTATAAAGGCCTCAAAATTTGTTAACCAAAATAATCTTAAGTAAGATAAATATACTAAAGAATGAAAATAAAAATTTCATTATAATTGGAAGTGGTGACAGAGATAGCGGAAAGACCCGTTTATAATATTTCCATTATTCTTCATATATTCACTTAGCAGTCAGAAGCAAGAACTATAATAGGAGGTCCTTGGGTTCTCCTAAGTGCTTCTGAATGTTGTACTCCAGTGTTGCTGCCTGGGGAGCATGTGAACTTGTTCATCAGGGCACCCTTTACTCAAATACTTGCCAGGGGCAGTCTTGGTTTTAGATTCTTAGTGACTTCTGAAACTCATGGCATGACGTGGGACGTAATATTTAACATTGCTGAGTTCCTATTTCTTTATCTACAAGGAACTTTAAGTCTTTTTATAATAATCAAATCAGGCAAATTATGAGCAATCCTGGGTACATAATAGGAGCTCGGTAAGTTATTTAAATTTTTATGAGGATTACATTAATGAGAAAATTGGATAATATATCCAGAAAGGAGCTAAACAAAATGTTCATATTTTAATGGATATTCTACATTTACTATATAATAGTAATGTACAACGTTGTCATCCTGCTGTTTTAACTAGATTGGCCATGAAATAATTTTGTCAGTAGAAGCTTTAAATGAATAGCATATGATCATAGATACATACGGTATTTCTACAAGAGGGCAGTAGTCATCTCAGCTACCACCTCAAAAGGTAGAATTTACTTTGATCTAGGTCTTATTTTGTTATAGTAAGACAAAAGTCAGGTTTGATAATCATCCTGAGAATTAATCCCACTCTTGAAGGGGTCACAAATTGTTGATCTCATGAGAAATTACGTGTAGTTTTATGAATTCACAGTAATGTATCTGTATCACTGACTTAAATAATCAAATTGAGACACATAATATTTTCTTTTCCTAGTCAACATGGGAAGCCTGCTTATCATTTAAATGCTAGTAGCAAAATTTGAATAGAGATGAGGAGAATTTGTTTTATAATTCGAACGCTAAAGGTATCAGAATATAAGTGCCTCTCCCATCTTCCTTGCAAAGGATAAGACTGTTTTCCACACTTGACAGTCCTTGGTGGGACATAACTCCTCAAAATTAAATCCAGTATTCTGATACAAACAAATGGACCTAATCTCAATATTTTCACCCAACTATAGAAGCTTTCTTTTTTCAGTTTGGTGATTCTCACTATAAATAAATAATAAACTAATATAGATATTAATTTTAAAAGGGAGCTAAAAATATTTAAGAATCTTTTAAAACAAAGGTCATGAGCAAAGAATATTTTATAAGGAAATGAAATACTAAAATGCAGTGGGCAGGTAGCCACAAACAGGAGATGATGTACTTTGTAAAATATGTAATATCTACCTAGAAGTAGCAATAATAAGGAAAAAAAAATATTTCAAATCAATAAGCGGAAAAATACTCTGATATTTCAAAATAAAATATTCAAGTTTTGTAATTATTAAAACTTTTCTAATGATTATGTTAATGCAGAAATTGAATAATTTACTCAGAAAGGAGATAAAATAAATATTATTAATGACATTTAAAAAAAAGAGCTTGAAATGAAATTTAAAAAATTCATTTTCATTAACAATTCTGCCCAAAATTATATGAGTATTTCTATTAGAGAATTTGTTAACCAAAATATTCTTAAGATAAACATAGTGAAGAATGAAGAAGGAAAAAAAAATGATTATAATTAGAAGTGGTGAAACAGAGAAAGCTGGAAGACCTGTTTATATTATTTTCATTTTTATTCATATGTTCACTTAAGAATCAGAAGGAAGAACTATAATAGAATGTTCATAACCCTGAGTTACGTGAACTTCAGTATTTGAAGTTTTATTCTACTTCATTGTGTAGTTTTTTAGAAAAAAATTAGAGTCAATTGGACTAAACAGACACACTAGCTATATCATTCATTTTCCATGTAAAAACAAAAGTCCTAAAGTTTGCAGTGCAATATAAACAAAGGTTAAAAGATGACTGATGCTTCAGTAATTTGGTTTTGAAATGACAACACATGAATGGAACCTTTAAGGCAGAGGCTATTTGATCTAGGTGATACATTTCCCCTTTTACATTACCATTTAGAGTACTGCAGCAGGAAGTGCTACATGGTTCTCTAGCAATATAACATGAAAATGTCTAGCAGAGAGAACTATTACTAGCATATTATATCTTACGGAGAAGAGCCTGGGTGGCACTAGTGGTTTGTGATCGACTGCTGACCTAGGTTGGCAGTCCAAACCGACTCAGCAGCTTTGCATAAGAAAAACCTGCTTTCATGAAGATTATAGCCAAGAAAACGCTAAGGAGCAGTTCTATCGTGCAACATATGGGGTCGCCATGAGTTGGGGGATGACTTGACAACAGCTAACAACAACAACAACCTTACAGAGAGTAGGCACCGAAAGAATACTTACAGGAAGAAAGGTGAGGCATAGAAAAATATGAAAAAATGAAAAGGTAAACCCCCTACCTTTCAAGAATAGTATCACAACCATGATGTCATGATGTAACTTTTCCTCATGAATATAATGAAGGTCTCAGATAATAGTAAACAAATAGTTTGTGAGCACTTATTATGTGCCAGATATTAATCTATGCACTTGATATTAATAGACTCATTTACTCTTCACAACAAATCTATGAGATAGACATTACTTCTCTCTCCATTTTACAGGTGGTACAATGTGTGGTGAAACATTTTAATTAAGGCCATGGTGCTAAAAAATAGATAGAGAGGACTTCGCAGGCAAATTTACTCTAGAACCTGAGAGTCTATACTTTCATAATTTGGGAGCAAAAATTGTTATACACATTTTAAACATCATTTATAAATCTTTAGACTTGGGAATAATAAAGCATAATGAGAAAATAACTAAATGTTACACAATGATTTATTTTTACAAATGGTTCCTGTGAGGTCACGTTAGGCATATCTTAAACCCTGAAGATGTCTGAAACTCTAGCAGGTAGATCAGGTTATTTTTACAAATAATGTGTACTCTTTTTCTCTAAGCATATCAAAATATTATATTAATTTGTGTTAACATGGGTAATTTATTTCCGCTTTAAATGTATAGGAATGAATGTGAAGTTAATGAATGCGATTCTGAAAACAAAGAAGTCATGATCACAAGTAACACTGATAATCGAATAGCTATTTAGATTCATGACATAATTCATGATAACATACTTTTTCAGTTCAGAGTGTGATTTTTCTTGTCCATAAAATATCATTGGGCAGGCCAAATTTTTTTCTGCTTCTATCTGTCCATAGCTTAAAAACAAAGCAAAGAAAAAGGAATATACATTGCACCTTAGTTCACATTAGTAATTGAATGACACTGGTCTAAAAGAATGTATTAAAAAAAACATATTCAGCACACTTTAATGTCTCACGTCAAATTATTAGTGGTATAAAACAAAAAGAGCAAAAGCTGGAAAAAATACACACCCACATTCTACTCATAACTTCACAATATTTATTGAATAACGCTAATCTAAAAGAATATATTTAAAAAATTCAGTGTATTCCAATGTCTTGGCTTTAAAACAATATTATTAAGTATGCTCCAAGAACTAAAGGAAAATAGACAAAGAGTTTAAGAAAATCGAGGAAAAGATACTTGAAAAAAATAAGAATATCAATAAAGAGATAGACACATAAATAAGGGACCAAACAGAATTGTTTGTTTTGTTTGTTAGGTGCCATCGAGTAGGTTCCGAGTCATAGCGACCCTATGTACAACAGAACTAAATGCTGCCAGGCCCTGCATCATCCTCACAATCATTGCTATTTTTGAGCCCTTTGTTGTAGCACTGTGTCAGTCCATCTTGTTCAGGACCTTCCTCTTTTTCTCTGACCCTCTACTTTACCAAGCATGATGTCTGCTGAAACCTGTCCACCATGGGTGAACCCGCTGTTACTTGAAATACCAGTGGCATGATTTCCAGCATCACAGAAACAAGCAAGCTCTTATAGAATGACAAGTTGATAGACAAGTGGTGGTACTCTGGATTAGAGTGGTCCCTAAATCCAATATGGCTGGTGTTCTTATAAGAAAAGCAGAAGACATAGAAACAAAGGAGACACAGGGAAGAAGGTCTCATGAAAATGGAGTCAGACATTGAAATGATACAGCTACAAGCCAAGGAAGACCAAGGATTGTTGGCAACACCAAAAGCTAGGAGAGAGGCAACAAATTAAAATATGGGCAAAGGACTTGACTACCTGCCTCGAAATAAGACATTACTAATGGCAATAAACACATGAAAAGATGTACAATGTCATAAGTTGTTCGGGAAATGCAAATCAAGACCACAATGAGATACCACTTCACTCATACTAAAGATGGCTATTATAAGAAAAAAGGAAAATAACTAATGTTAGCATAGATGTAGAGAAATTGGAGCCCTTATGCATTGCTGGAGGGAATTTATAATCATGCAACCACTGTAGAAAACAGTTTGTTGGTTCCACAGAAATTTAAACATAGAATTATCATATGACCCAGTGATTCCACTCCCAGGTATATATGCAAAGGACCAGAAATCAGGGACTCAGATATCTGTACACCAATGTTCTTTGCAGCATTATTCATGATAGCTAAATGGTGGAAACCACCCAAGTGTTCATCAAGAGAAAAATTGATAAACAAAATTTGATATATACATACAATGGAATATTATTCAACCGTAAGGAGAAATTAAGTTCTGATAAATGTCACAACATCATTGTACCTTGAAAATAGTAACTGAATGAAAATAAGTATGATGCAAAATGACAATTATGGTATGATGCTACTTATATGGCATAACTAGAATAGGTAAAATCATAGAGACAAAAATGTATTAGTGGCTACCAGAGACTTGGAGGAGGGTGAAATGGGGAGTTATTGCTTAAGGGAGACAGAGTTTCTGTTTGGGGTGATGAAAAGCTTTTGGGAATGGATAGTGGTGATCATTACACAGCACGGTGAATAAAATTAATATCACGGAATTGTATACTTAAAAATGGTTAAAATGGCAATTTTTACTACAATAAATTTAAAAAAGTAGGTTATTTTTTATGATTGAGGTATTTACTATTCAAAAATCTCATATCTTGGCAGAATATGTAATTAAGCAGTGACTATAATATGCCCATCTTTATCTTTCTGGATAAATATTGTGAGCATGGTGAGATGTTATGTTAGCATATCTGGAGATGTTTTGTAAATGTATATAATATCTTGAAGTGAAAAAAATACATATTTTCACCATTAGTTTTCAGAGAAGGTAAACAGCCACTGTGTCATTTGTATATGAATGTTGCACATCTGTAAGAGATATAAAAACAAGATTGGTATAGAAGTTTTGTATGTTATAAGTATTGGATTACTATTTTATTGAGTATGATGCCAAATATATCTCTGGCACAAAATGTGATTGTATGCAAATGAGTTATTTTAGGAAGATCTGGTAGATACTAAAATTTCTGACCATGTTCTATTATTTATTTTATAAGGATTTGTGTTAGGAAATTCACAGTATCAAGTATGTGCATTAAAAAATAATACTCTGGCTATAAGGTGGAGAATAGATAAGATGAGGTCAAGAGTAGGTGCAGCAGGAAATTTTAGGAAGAAGTTGTAACAGTCCTGGTAAGGGACAATGGTTTGTAACTTCAGTGGGCATGGTTAATAGAAATTTATAGAATTAAAAATATTTAAATAGTAAAATTAATAATTTCTTGGGTAAAGAGTATGGGGAATGGAGAATTTCTAACTTACAGAACTCAATGAATATTGATTACATTAATGGAAACAGGTAACAGTGGAAGAGAACAAATTTGGCATGGGGCAAGAATGAGGACTTTGGTAACATTTAATTTCAGGAAGATAGAATTTGAAGTCTTTGTAGATCATCAAATAAGTTTGTTGGGTGAAAATAGGTGACAGAGATGTCCAAATACATGGTTCCCTATACAGGTTTGAAAAGGAGCACTTGTGACATAATGGTTAAGCATTTGGCTGCTAACCATAAGGTTGGCAGTTTGAGCCCACGCAATAACTCTACAGTAGATAGATCTGGCAATCTGCTTCTGTAAAGATTGCAGCCTAGGAAACCATATAGGACAGTTCTACTCTGTCATATGGGGTCGCTATGAATCAAAATCTACTTGATGGCACTCAACAACAACACTGGTTTGAAACTCAAAAGAGATATGTAGACTGGGATACAATTTTATAAATAATTTTCATATAGATGATAACTGAAGTTGTGCTCAAGGTTGAGACCACTAGTTGAGAAATACAGAATGAGAAGGAAAAAGGACTAGACCTGAGATATGAACAATGCTTGTATTTACTGGCCACAACAGAAACTAAAAATGAAGGTTCAGAGAGGGTGATATAATGAAAGGCGGGAAAAAAAAAAGTTTTAAAAGGAATTGTCAATATTATCAGAGGCTACTGAGAGGTCAGAATAGATTAGGAGTGAAAATACAGTATGTCGAATGTTTCCTATGATGGCAACTGGAGTCCTTGGTGAAAATACTGTTGTTGAAATGACTAAGGCACAAGTCAGATCAGGATGGATTTTGGAGTTAGTTTCAAGAAATAATTTCTAGAAATTTGGTTGTAAAAGGATATAATGTAATGTAAAATACGGATATTTTAGGGGGGTTCCTTTATGTATTCGGTTGATTAAATGAAAGAAATTTGAGCATGTATCAAAGTGGTTAGAAGAAATTTAGGTGAGAAATAATTATTTGTGCAGATAGAAGGAAGAAACTTCCCTTATTCTAATATTAGAGGAAAAGATAATGCACAGTTTTGTACGTTTGGTTGTTGAAGAATTTGAATATCATTTGATCAATGTCTTTCTTACAATTATCCAGAGTATACTAATTACAGAGCCCTGGTGGTGCAGTGGTTAAGAGCTAGGCTGCTAACCAAGGTCAGCAGTTCAAATCCACCAGCTACTCACTGGAAACCATATGGGGCAGTTCAATTGTGTCCCATAAAGTCGCTATGAATCAGATTGAATCAACGGCAAGTGGTTTGGTTTGGGTTTGGGTATATTAACATCAGAAGAAAGCATAAAATGTATGCACCTTCCACACAAGTTGAAGTCATTGGACCTCAATTCATACAGAACAGTCTTTCTCAAACTTTTTCAAAATGTTTACAATTACTGGAATCTAAAATCAATATAGTGGATTTTGTACAGCATTAAAAAAAAGAAACAGAATTGAATAAAACAGAATAGCAAAGTACATTGCAAGTAATAGAACTAAGTATTGTTCCAGCTTTCAGTAATATAGGTGTGAATTTTGTGTGGAGGAGAAGAATCACAGTTTAAAATTTATTTCCTATTATGGTACATGAGCAAAAAGTTTATTTCATTGGAGTACATTATAATCAATTTATTGATTTAATCATTTAATTTCTATTTTGGATAAATACCAATGACATCTCATTATTTTTTAATATTTCTAATTTCTTAGGCAAATAGTGTTAGTGGATAAACAAATAATATATGTCAATTCAAATATTATCAGTAACATCAGCAATTAAATCAAGAACCCTAAAGTATTGTTCTGCTAAAACTGATCAAGTAAATGTCAGTAACAAATCTCTTGCTTTATTTCTGAGAGCTTTTTATCACTGAGCATAATGTGATTTTAATATATTTATCTGTGGTTTGGTAAGATGTTAAAATAAGATGAGAATACATCTTGCCTTATTGGTCTACAGAGGAAGTTTTTCCTGTGCCCTTTAACCCATAAGCTTATTAATCATTCTAAGGCTTTCATCAAAAGGAGAATGTGGTTTTGTGATGCAATTATGGCCATGAATATCTGGGGTCTATTTTCAGTTCTCCCACTATCTTGTGTTTACTGACTTAGGACATTATTTAATTTCACTGAGGCATATTTTTGTGAATTTTTCCCATTTACAGAGTAGTCAAATGATAGGAGCCTACGGTATATTAGCCCATAGGAACTGAAGAGAAATCCCACAGGTCCCAAGGGAATTCCTGGAGGTGGGAACAATACTGGTTGGTTTTAAATATATTACCTAATGGCAATACCTGAAATAGTCCCATTTCCTGATAAACTGTGACTCCAGAACAGCCTTCCCCTTTCTTACCTCTTGTGTTTTCATTTCTTTCTAGATTAATTGATTCACGTTATATATGATTGCCAAAAAGCTTGTTTGATTTACTGGTTAATAGAATGGTTTCAGTGCTTTGTAAAATGTTGAGTCCATATTTATAATTCCACAAAAACTT